GTACAACTGAAAATTTAAAAGTTGAAAAAAAATCTAGAGTGTGTGTGGCTGCATGCGTGTGAGTGTGTGGTGTAAAGGAATCCCCCTCACCACCACCCAAAGAGCAGGAGTCCAGATCTTTGCCATTGGCAAGCATTGCAGGGGTCGGGGAGAAACCATAAAGATTCTGGGCAGGGGAGAAGTCCTATTTTCCTTAGCAGTGCAGACATCTGCCTCAACTCACCTCTCCCCAAACCCGCTAGCTTCAGCACAACACAGCCAGCCTCGCCCCCAGCTCAGGCTGTGGGTGCCAGAGGGGGACGGCCACTCCATGCAACAGCCCGGCTACTTACTCAGCCCCGGCATCCAAGTCAAACAGCTTCTGGGGAAGCAGCAAGCCCAGACCCAGAGTCTGCCATCTGAGGGTTTCTCTGCCTCCCACAGGCAAACGGAGCAATGCATGAAATGGAGTCAGTGTTTGGTGCACAGAAGGAGGTTGGGGTGCTGTTGGCCACTTTGAACAGAAAGGGGTAGAGGGGTGAGTGTGTGTGGCTGCATGCGTGTGAGTGTGTGGTGTAAAGGAATCCCCCTCACCACCACCCAAAGAGCAGGAGTCCAGATCTTTGCCATTGGCAAGCATTGCAGGGGTCGGGGAGAAACCATAAAGATTCTGGGCAGGGGAGAAGTCCTATTTTCCTTAGCAGTGCAGACATCTGCCTCAACTCACCTCTCCCCAAACCCGCTAGCTTCAGCACAACACAGCCAGCCTCGCCCCCAGCTCAGGCTGTGGGTGCCAGAGGGGGACGGCCACTCCATGCAACAGCCCGGCTACTTACTCAGCCCCAGCATCCAAGTCAAACAGCTTCTGGGGAAGCAGCAAGCCCAGACCCAGAGTCTGCCATCTGAGGGTTTCTCTGCCTCCCACAGGCAAACGGAGCAACGCATGAAATGGAGTCAGTGTTTGGTGCACAGAAGGAGGTTGGCACGGAGACGGGAGGTGGAAGCGCAGGGAGGCATGTATGCGGACTGGGAGTGCGCTCCCGGCCACTGCCTCTGCAGTCTCAACCTCCACACTCCCTAGGGAACCACTCCCACCCTCCCCACAGCCTCAACTTACTTTCCATTGGTGAGTAACAATAGCTGACCTGGAGGTTGACTGTATCTAGTGCCGCAATTCATCCTCTCATTTAACCCTCACTGCAACCCCAGGGGTGATCACCAGCTCCACCTGGTGATGGGGACATTGAATCTAGGGCCGGTGCTTTGACCACTAGCTGGTCAATGAAAACAATGAACCTCCAAACAGAGAGACTCCACCCAGGGTGAATAGAGGGAACTGTGAGGTTACAGGAAAGACACACAGGAACCATATTCCTGCTCCAGAGGTAAAGGTCAAGAGAAGCCAAACTCTGAGGACCAGCCTTGGCGTCCACCACATATTTCCTGACCTCTAGTTTGGGTTGTGTGGGAGGCCTATTGCTGTAGGTAGTGGCGTGGGGTTGGTTTTGTAGACTGAGCTTGAAGGTACCTATTGAGACCATTTGCTCCAAACCCATGGGTTTTACAGATGAGGAAACTGAGATCTGGAGCACCCAAGTGACCTGCCTGAGGTTTCAAAGTGAGCTGGGGACAGAGCTGGCTTCATACCCAGGTCTGTGAACTCCTCCTAGTCCAGGTGTCTCCATGTTTCCAAGCAGCCTCCGTTAGGTCAGGTGACACCATTTCTTGGGAAAGAGAAACCCTCTGCTATTTCCGTCAATGAGGGAGGGTATGGGGTGAAAGACAGTGAGAAAAAGGGGCAGAGTGAGGTGGGGGTAGGGACTGGGTTCTCTCTCTTCTGCCCTAAGGAGCTCTTTGCCTTGTCTGGTCAGAAGAATGAGGTGGGGGTAGGGACTGGGTTCTCTCTCTTCTGCCCTAAGGAGCTCTTTGCCTTGTCTGACCATGAAGAGGGCAGAAAGCCCTCTATAAGCAGGCTCAGCATTTTGGGGACAGAATAGGAAAGACAGAGGGGCTGGCCCAGTTAGCTCAGTTGGTTAGACTGAGTCAGTGTTGTAACACCAAGGTCAAGGGTGTATCCTCTGTACCAGCCAGCGGCCAACAACAACAAAGAATAGGAAAGACATTCCTTGCTGGATCGTAGCCATGGTTCCCCACTTTACAGCCTGAAATACTTGCACTGTCTACTTCCACTCTGACATCAGTGAGATGTTGTCCCTCTCAACATCTTTTTTGGGGGGTGGGTGGGTGGGCAGGGAGGTCGGAAGGAAATGCAGAAACAACCGCAATAGAGCGGGTGGTTTGGTTTCAGGCGTAGGGAGAACAGACTGATTGCTGGTTTGGCTGTGGGCATCAGATGCCCGACTCGGGGAGGGCAGAATGTGCAAGCCCAGCTGTCGCAAGTGTCCCACAGGGATGAGGGGAGATGGGGAAGAGGCACAGCCCCTCCAGGCCCCCCACAATTGTCTCACTGCCACTGAGGCTGGCTTCTCTCTGGATCCTTAGCAGATATCCCCTCTCAGCATCCTTTTAATCCTGGCCTCACATCTCCTGCTTTTCAAGGCCATTGGGTTCCAAATGCCAAATTCGTAAATTCTTCGTCTTAAGAAAGTGAAATGGCAACATCACAGTAATCGAAGCAGTTTCCTTAGATCATAGCTTCCCTTAAAAGGTATTTCTTGGGGGAAGAAAGGGATTGACAAAAAAAAAAGATACTTTTTGGTAGCTTTATCCCACCCATTGTTCCTCTCCTACTCAGCAGCCAAACCTAGCTGGAGAAGGTAATATACTTCTGATAGTGTCCTGCCACATGACCCTGGATAAGTTCCTCTCTGGGGACTAGATTCCTGATTATCAGTAAAATGGGGATAATGCTTCCTGCTTGGCCTTATATCATGGGACATGGAAAAGAAAGGACTTTGTGGACTGTAAAACACTGCACGAGTGGATCACAATATTCCTTTATTCTGTCATCTCCTAGGGGATGAGAGCCCCATCTCTATAGGGACAACTGAACAATAAATAGTTCAGAAAAATGTAGCTACTGCTCACCTCCCTTCCCGTGATGAAGACAGAGAGGGCGGAACGAAAGTAAGGGACCCGGGGTACTTGCCCTGTATCTACGATCCTGGGCAAATCACCCCCCCTCTCTGGTTCTCTGCTTCCACACTGTGAATAAAGGGCTGGACTGCATGATCTCTAAAGTTATTCCCAACGTTAAACATTTCCAGAGTGAGTCACTTCTCTTTCAACCATGCAGCTAGCCAGCAGCACCTAGTCTGGGCAGGGGAGCTCTGAGTCTGAGTGGGGTGACAGGCTAGAGGCAGTATTGACAGACTGCAGGCCAGGAGGCTGAGTAGACATCGGTGGCCTGGGAGTCTCCCATCAGCCTCCCCGTATGCAGTGGAGCAGATGGGAGTATGGAGGCACACACTGTGGCAGTCTGTGGTCCCCCGAGCCCCAAACCTTGATGCAGCATAGGCAGACAGCTGAGCACTAACCAACAGACTGCCAGGGAAGAGACTGTGCTAGGGAGGAGAGAGGAAAATTCCCCAAAGGACAAGGGTGGGGTGCGGCAGGGTGGGGCCAGCCTGCCTTCTGACATTCTTTTCTGGTGCCAGGGGTTGGTGGGAGGAGGAAGCCAAGCTTGGTAGCTGGCTGGCTGCTGGAGCTGGAACACCAGGAGGAGGGGGTGCCCCCACTGCAGGCAGGTTGTGCATAAAGCAGGTCCCATCTATGTGCTGTCCTCACCAGGGTGTGTACTAGGCGTGGTGACTCCGGCAAGGGCAGGTCAGTCTCTGCAGGTTGGAGAACTGTTCCACCAACCCTTCAGCTCTGGGGAGGCGAGTAACTGTCAGAAGACTTGCCTCGAGGTTCGGGGGAGCCCCAGTCACCAGCTCCAGGGCAATAAGTGCATTTCTTGTTATTAGCCTCTGGCAGCACGCACCTGTCTCTACTGCCATCTCCCTGTGAGAGTGGCACAGGAACTGCCTTTCCAAACCCCTTGCTGCCTGAAGAGGGGCAAATACTGTCCATCTGTATGCAGGGGATGTGGCCTTCAGACCCAGGACAAAAAAGTCCCCTATTTCCTGCTTCTGTCCCTGGGTGGTTCCTTAACACTCCAAAGGAAGGAGTCTGTTGCCTCTGTCAGGCTTCCCGTTTGCAGAGGGGCCGGGTGTGGCCAGCAGTGGGTGTCCCTGGATCTCCCTGCCCTGGTGTCCTCTCCATGTCCACTCTGTGTGGCCCCGCCTTGCCTGTTGGGTGGGCTGGCCGGGAGGGGCCCCTCCTGAGAAACGCAGGCCTCATCCCACTGGAGGGCCGACAGGCATCTGCGTCTCCTCTCCCGAACTCTCCCAGAGTTCTCTCCAGTTAAGATACTTATCGCCCTTGAAAAAAAAATCAAGCCAAGCTAGTCTTTCAGGTGGCTTCAGAGAGCTCTTTCTCACGCGGGCGGCTCAGAATCAAAGTCTGAGAGACTGGGGGCCCTGCGAGGTTCCCTCTCGAGGGTGGGGTCCCCGACTGCCACTCCGGGACCGAATCCCGGCGCCCCCGGCCAGCGCGCCCCTTCCCCTCCGGTGGCAAAGAGCGAACAGCTCCCCGCGGAGGTCTCCCTGCCCACCGAGGCCTTCCGAGGGCCGCGTCCTCCCCTCGTCGCGCCCCTGCCACTGGGGAGACCCCGCCCTGGTCACTAACTGCCCTGCCCGCCACGGTCCTTCTTGGCGAGGGCCTTCCCCTCCGGCACTCGGAGGAGCTCGGATGGGAGAAATCCTGGGAGAGGGAGCCCACTGGGCGCCCCGCTTCCGCCGCCCGCTCGGCTCCGGATGAGCCCCCAAGGACGTGCCCGTCCCCCCAGGCTCCGGCCCGGCCGAGAAGCCAGCTGGCAGCGGCAGCGCGTTTCTCCTCCCGCCCGGAGTCTGCCCGGTGCGGGCAGTGCCAGCTGCCGGCGCCCCCGCCGCGCCAGGGTCCGGAGCCGGGAACAGGTGGTCCCAGGAGGAGCGCGGCCAGTCGCGCGCACTCACCCAGAAGATGAAGTTAAATCCGAAGAGCAGGTACTTGATCCACTTCGTGCCTCCTTTGACCGGCATGGTGAGGCTGGACTGGCCGGGGCGCGCGCGGCGAGGACGGGCGGACCCGACTCCGGACACAGGTGCTGGCGGCTGCGCGCGGCAGGGGCTGTGCTCGCAAGGGCCGCTCCTTAGGCGCCCGGCCCGCCGCGGAGCGCCTTTGTAGCCGAACGAC